CCTCTAATAACTATGCTTTCTTAGGCTTAGTGATATTAATTGTGTGTGTATGTGTGTGTGTTTGTGCCTGTGTGTGTGCGTATGAACACATGCTTGTGTTTTCATTCTTGATTATTTTGGTTAATTCAAGACTGTTTATTGTAGTAAAGCTAAGGTTAATTTTCAAATACTTTTTATTATTTACAGAGATGGTATATGATTTTTATAAATGACCCGATAGCATTTTGTGGGATACTTCCCAACTTCATCATTATTGCATTATAAGAGAAGAAAAATCATGGGGACTGGGTATGTAGCTCTATTGTTTGAGTGCCTGCTTTGCTAACATGACGGTTGTCCTGAGTTTGTTCTCTTCCACCACAGAAAGCCAGGCCTGGTGGTGACATATAACTGTAGTTCTAACACTTGGTTGTTGGAGATAGGAGGGTTAGTTCAACATCATCTTTATCTGTATAATGAGTTTAAGGCCACTTTGAGAAACATGCAGAAGAGAGGTCATCTTTGGCTGCATAGTGAGTTTGTATTTAGGGAAATTTATGTGTTAAGAGGATGTATTATGCAGACATAAAGAGGTAGAATTGGGGCATTATAGTTTTCTGTAAGTGTGTGTGTGTGTGTGTGTGTGTGTGTGTGTGTGTGTGTGCTCACACATGCATGCATGTTGGTATCCACACTTGCACGTGAGCTTGGGTTGAGGTCAGAAGAGGATGTTGACCATCCTCCTCACATCCTCAGCATGTTTCATTGAGGCAGGGTCTCTCCCTGAACTTGGGGCTTGCATCCTGCTTGGGTTGGGACTCTGAAAGCTGCAGAGGTCCTCCTGTGACTACCCCACTAGGTTGTGGGGGGCTAGTCTGTACTGCTTGGCTTGTTGCTTAGGTGCTGGGATTTTAATTCCTGCCCTTATGATCCCAGAACAACTATTCTTAACCAATGATTCATTCCTCTAGCTCTACATTGTAACATCCTCTAAAAACCTTAATGTCCTGTAGTCTACTTGTAAAGCTTGTACTGTGCTCTTACCTAATATTTGTTTTGTATTTCTCTTATTTTTCCTCTGAATAAGAGTAATGTGATACAGCACTTTCCAGTATTCTTATGAAGGTAGATTTCATTGTTTTCATCTTTGGAATAAACCACCTGCATATCTTGGGGATAGGTGAATGTCCGACAGTGAAACTGCTCAGGAGGGTTTCCTATTCCTAGGAATTTTGCTCATTTAGTACCCTACTCCTGTTTGCTAGATTATCAATGTATTATTTACTTTTATATTATTGTAATAAAACATCATGTCCAAAGTGCTGTATAGAAAGAAGGATTTATTTGGGCTTGTGTTTTCAGAGAGAGAAGAGTCCATGATTCCAGGGAAGTGACAGACACAACATCAGGCATGGTGGTTGAAAGCTCACACCTTGAACCACAAGCACAAAACAGAGAGAGCATACTGGGAATGCTGTGAGGCTTTCAAACTTCAAAACTTACCCCCAGTGACATATCTCCTCCAACAAGACCACAAGTAACCATTCCCTAACAGTTTCTCCACCTGGGGACCAAGTATTCAAACCTATGAGTATAGGGGACATTCTCATTCAAACTATACCAAAGCCTATTACCAGTGAGTGACATGCTTCCTTCAGCAAGGCCACACCTCCTAAACTTACCCAAACAGTACCAATGTTCATTGGTTGTCTGTAGCTGTGTATCTTTGATGTTGACATCTGCAGTACAATCTAATCTTAGACATAACCAACATAGGAAATAATACTGACTCATATTTCTCAGTATTTTAAATGAAATTCATTTGCACTTGACAAGTTGCAAATTCACGAGTTACATATGAGGCTAATTAAGGACTAGCTTTTTTTTTTTTAAGACAGGGTTTCACTGTGTAGCCCAAACTGACTTCTCACTCCTTCAACACCCCCCCCCCACTCCAGTAAAACTCTTTTTAATGAAAGAGCTAATTCCTAGTGCTGAGATGACTGTCCACCACTATGATTTGCTACTATTAGCTCTGTGGTGTGGTTCATGTGTGTATGCACATGTGGGTGGTGGTGGTGGTGGTGGTGATGATGGTGATGGTGGTGGTGGTGGTGGTAGTGGTGATGATGGTGATGGTGGTGATGGAGGTGGTGATGGTAGTGATGGTGGTGGTGATGGTGATGGTGGCGGTGATGGTGGTGGCGGTGATGGTGGTGGTAGTGATGGTGGTGATGGTGGCAGTGATGGTGGCGGTGATGGTGGTGGTGGTGGTGATGGTGGTGGTGGTGATGGTGGTGGTAGTGATGGTGGTGATGGTGGCAGTGATGGTGGTGGTGGTGATGGTGGTGGTGGTGGTGATGGTGGTAGTGATGGTGGTGGTGGCGGTGATGGTGGTAGTGGTGGTGGTGGTGGTGGTGGTGATGGTGGTGGTGGTGGTGGTGGTGGTGGTGGTGTGTGTGGTTGCCAGAAGTTAATGTTGGCTGTCTTCCTCAGTTGGTTTTCATCGTATTTTTTAAGAGACATTTTCTCCCTAGTATCTAGAGCTCACCGACTGGCTAGCCTGGATACTGTTGGGTCCTAGGATTGACCTGTCTAATCTTCCCCAGAATTAGTCTTGCAACTGTGCACCACTGTACTTGGCTTTTAATGTGGGTTCTGGGGATTCAAATTTAGGTCCTTATGTGCAGCAGTCCGTTTACTGACTAGTTGTTTTTATTGGAGATTTTAGAGAGCTCATGAGTTGAAGCAGTAAAACCAAAAATCGTGAAGAAGGTTTGAGTGCGATGGCTGAGCAGGCTTGATAGAAACATGCGAGCAGAGTAAAAGTAATGCTGTTAGAAGTCTGCCTAGGTTGTCATGATCAGAGATAAGGAGCACCGTTTCTTATGAGAGAAATAATAAACCATCTTAAAAAAATTAAATACCTGACACAAATTAGAAAATACTCTTTATCTATTAATAAAGCACTCCTCTCTTTTTATAAAATGAGTGAATTATTTGACAAATTCAAAGTTAGTACTAATGATAATTCATTGACATGCAAGGCATCTATTTTATTAAACTGTGTTTTATCTGCAGTTAGCAATATATGTCTTGTGCAGCTGATTGATAATGTATGCTTTGTAAAATAATTGAAAGTAGAGGCCTCATGATGTGTGTATTTGCCCAGTTTTATTCTTTTGTGGTTAAATTTGAATTATTTTTTTGTTTGTCAGTTTATTTTTATTATTTGATAATTGCAAAACCAATTTGTATGTGTTAGTTGATAGTGTATCTTTTTAAATGAAAGAGGCATTGAATATTTATAAACAAGCCTAGTGCCTAAGACAATTCTGTGTAATGTGTTAAGTAAAGTTTTTTTTTTTTTTTTTTTACATCCAGGACAGGATTTCTCTGTGTAGCTTTGGAGGCTGTCCTGGAACTAGCTCTTGTAGACCAGGCTGTCTCATACTCACAGAGATCCACCTGCCTCTGCCTCCTGAGTGCTGGGATTAAAGGTGTGAGCTACCACCGCCTGGCTAGTTTTCTTAACTTATAATTATGAATATTCACGAGGGTCAAAATATAGCTAACTATATTCTCATGGTGAAGAGAGAACAGGCAAAGCGGGTGGCACCAGTGAGAGCCACACTCAGATCCAGTGTCCAGGCTGCTGCACGGTGATACAGAGAAAACATAGTGTTGATCTTTGAGCATCACAGCAGAAAAGGACCAAGCACAGCAGCCTTATGAGTGTGCTTTAATAAGAAGATCATGGTAGACAAGTTTAGAGATGAATGATGCAGCTAATGTTCACATCAACATTGTAAAGGTTCTGGGAAATCCAGTAGTTAAAATTAAAACTCAGCATGAGTGGTGTTTGCCTGTAATCCCAGTACTTGGTTGAGGCAGGCATATCAGAAGTCTGAGGCCAGCCTGGGCCACATCAAGACACTTGGCTCAAAAACAAAACAAACACCAAAACAGTGTGGATAAAGCAAAAGCTACACAGCTGCAGTTTCCTCCTGCACACGTGCTGCCCCTCTCCCTACCCCTTTCACCTAACACATGTTGACATTTCTTACATTGAGAATTAGCGAAATGTTGCTTTTAGCTCACAACAGTGTAGGAGAAGCAGAGCATTGTACATTTGCAGGTATCTTTTAGGTCCTTTAAAAGAGGATTATGTGTAGTTTTATGGGCCTATTTTATTAAGAGGTCATCACAATAAATTCAGATGATTGCTCTCATATGGTAAATTTTAAATTGCTTTCAAAGTGTCCTATAGAAATTTAAAGTTTTTAGTTTTCAATTTGCTATACTGTAAATTTAGCTCTCCCTTGCTAGTGAATGTCTTTACTTTCTTAGCTTATTCATAAACGATATTGTTTTAAAAGGAAATTGAAGAGCAGAAACTCACGATGTGCAGGGAATACGCCAAAGAATGTTCATGAAGTTGTGTTGTTAATTGAAGTGCTGCATCTTCAGGCATTGTAAACAGATGCCACAAAGGGAACAGGAACGCCAGTCTGCAAATAATGCATTATCGTTGTGGCCCTCAAGGAATGATTGTGGTTGCAGGACTGGGAGGAGTTTATGTTGGGACAAAAGTGCAGGGAAGAACATGGGTCTAAATGCATCGTGAACAGAAAGAAAGTCCACAGAAAGCTTCTCTCTGGAAACAAAAGTTAGTTCATGTTGTGGAAAGAATGCTGAACAGACCACATGAGCCCTATTTCCTGGCTGCTCAGTTTTGCCTTCTCAGATGTGGCAATCATTTTTATGAGGTCCTTTTCATATTTTAGTAACATCTTTCCAGTCTTTAACCTTTGCATTATTCCACATTGAAAAGCATATCTATTTGAACCAGAAACTTATTTATAATCTCAAGGGAGAAAATTGTTGAAAATGACCTGATGATGTGGTTGTTTTTCAGTGGAGTATACATAATAGGTAATTTTCGTTTAAGTTATTGAGAGAGTATCTATCTTATTCTAAATTTAATGTAAATATGACGGAAGTTTATTCTTCTTTTTCAGGCAAGAGTTCAACATTGCATCTGTTCTGTAGCCAGTGACCACTCAGTAGGACTTCTAAGTTTGCGAGAGAAAAAATGCATCATGTTGGCATCTCGTCACCTGTTTCCTATTCAGGTGATCAAGTGGAGGCCTTCTGATGACTACCTGGTGGTTGGATGCACAGATGGCTCTGTGTATGTCTGGCAGATGGACACTGGTAAGGATAAACGTGGAGAAGGAATAGAAAGTTAAAGGATGCATTTGATTGTGTTATGTTAGATCTTGTAGAGTGGTTTGACAGTTCCTAAAGGCATGCAATTGAGGGTAATGTGCCGATGATGACAAATATGCAGTGATATTTGTGATATGCAGTGATATGTAATCCCATAAATAATGTATTTGTGGAATTAATTGCCAAGCAAGCTTGAAAGAGCCAGGGTTGTCTCATGTTCAGAAACAGAAGAAAAAGATAAAACCAATTTTTATTTGAACACCAGAAAAGTGATGCTGACTAGGTAATTTTAGGAGCCAAATTGACATGGAGGTTGTAGGCTTTAGGAACTACACGTGGAATTTCAACTTTCAATTTTATGTATAGGGTATGGTATAGAGTAAATATTGCTAAGCTGAAAAGCACAGATGCTGATAGATGTGCACACACAGATGAATACAGTTTTACTAAGAATATTTAGGCAGGTAATATAATGTTTTAGTTTAAGTTTTCTTTTTAAAATGTATCTGATTCTATTTTTGCAATTCTTAAGTAATATGTATCAGTGATTAAAACTTATCTTTTGCTTGGCAGTTCTTGTTTATTATTTAAAATAATTCTTCTAAATGTTTTTATTCCACTAAGCGTTTTCCCCTCAGTATGTTCTACATAGTCCTTTGGAAGTAGATTGCCACATATTTTTGCCTGTCCTGCTAAAGAGTAGGGAATACCTTTCAATCCCTTAGGAAATAAGTAGACACATCTGCAATTTTGACAAGAGGAGGCATCCTTAAAATCTAACAGACTTCCTTTGCATTTAACTCTTTATTCTGCTTTGTATTGTAAGAGAGGTTATTTTCTGTTATATTTTGAAATTACTAAAGAGGAAAAGAGAAGAAAGGCACACTGAAGTCACACAGCTCCATGGTAAACATTAACACTGTAACATATTTCTTTCTGATCTATCTTTGGGCGTTTCTAAAAGATTACTTGCTCTGGGTGGAGCAGTGGTCCAGCTGTAAAGAGCATGTATGCTCTTACAGGGGATCCTTGTTAGATTGCTAGCACTCACATGGGCAGCTCACAAACCCTTTCCACTCCCCACCCTGCCACTCCCACCCCCCCTCCCCCACCCCCCAGTGATCTGACTACCTCCCCTGACTTCTGCAGGCACTCCCATTCACATGCAAATATTCACACATAAGCATACACATAATTTCTAAAAATGTGTAAAAAAAAAAAGAAGGAAGGGTTGAGGTTGTTTTGGGAGTCCACCACCTCCACTACCTTCATGCACCTGGCTCTCATGCAGCTCCTGCAGGATGAGACAGGCTAGAATCAGACACACACAGGAAGAAGCCTACATGCTGAAGCCATGTTGCAAAAACATAAGCAATACGAAAGTCCAAAACAGTGTTTCTCTTGCCCCCCCACCACAAGACCCCTATTAGTTCCTGTGTAAATGTTCTCCATGAGAATAACATAGATGAACCCCAGGAGACAACTTAAAATATCATAAAGAATTCAAGGAGTTAAAGAAAATGGTACTAAACAGCTCAGTGAACATATAGGTGATAGCAATAAATGACTGAGCTATATCTAAGAAAAGGTTAATTCATAGCTGAATAAAATGACCAAGATAATATAAGATCTGTAAACCGAATTCATTAAAAAGATAGGAACAGATTCAGTGAAGCTGAAATGAAGATGGAATTAAAAACTTTAATATCCCAACTGGAAAATTCAGGGAAAAACTTTTAGGGTAGAAAGAATCAAGTAAAAGACAGTATCATCACTCGAAGATAAAGTAGAGGAATTGAACCATTCAAGATAGAATATGAAAAATTAAAAAACCTAGGCAAAAGGAACATGCAAGAGCTATGTGATACTATGAAAAACCGAATATTTGAACTACAGGCATAGATGAAGTAGAAGAATGAAAGTCAATAACATAGATAAGATCTTTAACAAGATCCTGGAAGCAAACTTCCTCAAACGGAGGAAAAGACACACCCATACAGATGGAAGAAGCACAGGACACCATCAGACAGGACAGAAAAGAAAGTGCCTGCAGCATATTATACTTAAAATACTAAACATACAGAACAAAGTATTGACTGGAGCAAGAGAAAGAACCTACAAAGAACCATTCTAAGATAAGCAAGGTAATCAGACTCTTCCAACACCAAGGAAACTCAGACTATTAAAATTTAAAAATCTGTACTTTATTAAAGTGGAAAATATAAATGAAATGGATTAATTTCTAACTTCAACCAAACCACCAAACTTAAACCAAGAAGATGTAACAATTTAAGCAGAGCCACAATGAGTGGCTCTTCTGATTTAAAACAGCCCATGCCCAGATGGATTCACAGCAGAATCCTACCAGACTTTCTGAGACCTACAGCTAATCTTGCTTAACTATTGAGGAAAAAAACAAAACAAAACACAAAAAGGAGAAGGAACACCTCCAAACTCCATCTATGAAGTTAGTGTCTAACTCTGATACCTAACTCAGGTAACAAAACAAGGAAGAAAAAAAAAAAAAAGGAAAAAAGAAAGAAACTATAGGCCTATATCTCCAATGAACACAGATTAAAAAATCGTCAATAACTAGTTACAGGCATGCATCAAAACGATTTTTCACCATTACCAAGTCAACATTATCCCAGAGATGTAAGGATGGTTCAACATACACAAGTCATTAAATGTAATAAATCACATATATTGGCTTAAAGATAAATATTACATGATTACTTCAAAAGGTGCAGGAGAATCCCTTGGAAAAAAATCCAGCATGTCTTCATAATAAAAGATCTAGGGTGTAAGATTTGAGGGAATATATTCCAACATAATTAAGGCTATGTATGACAAAGCCAAAGCCAAATCTCCCTCAGTGCTGAAAAAATTCAAGTAATCTCTATGCATTTGAAAAGGAAAAAAGCAATTGAAGTGTGAGACATAAATGAATAAGAAAGATATTGGAGGGCATGTAACCTAAAGTCAACCAGCAATGCCGATTTTTAATAAAACAGAAAAGTCCTCAATACATATGAGCTAGTTTATGTTTGAGTCACCCATTCCAGAAACACTATGATGATGGTTCAAGTAGCTTTCAGAGGTTAAATACATTTCATACATCAAATCCTGCCTGCATTTGATTTATAGAGCTTCATTTTTTATTGATATGATAAATAAGTAAATTTAATAAATAAATAATGCCAATACCTCCAGGATGTACCTTCCTGGCTCTCCAGAGGCCTTTATATCACTGGCTACAGCTTGAACAGCAAGAAGAGAAAAAAACATGTATCTCCCATCTCAGTTGAAATACAAAATACATCTGACTTCTTTGCTTTTACCTGTTGGCTTTTTTCACCCATGGATTTGCAAGAACTCTATTTTAAGCTGTTAATAAATATGTAATTAACCAACAGTAGTTAATGCTACACATAGGCATATTACAGCGAGCAAAACCCTGCAAACTCTCTAGCTCTTGTGTAGTTAATAGTTCTGGGCTTGGAGAGGCATGTAAAAGTTTAAGTACGGGACTGAGGAACTGTCTTAGAATTTAAGAGCCTTGTTGCTACTGTAAAAGACCAGAGTTCAGTTCCCCGAATCTACCTGGAAGCTCACAACTAACTGTCTAACTGTCTGCAACTACTTTCAGAGGCTCTGACACCCTCTTCTCGCCTCTGCAGGCTTCAAACGTTCATGCAGTGCACAGACACACATGCAGGCAAAACATTTATCCACATAAAAATAACTTAAAAGTAAACCTTTTTTTTTTTTTTTTTTTTTTTTTGGTTTTTACGAGACAGGGTTTCTCTGTATTGTTTTGGAGGCTGTCAGTCCAGCCTGTCCTCGAACTCACAGAGATCCGCCTGCCTCTGCCTCCTGAGTGCTGGGATTAAAGGCGTGTGCCACCACCGCCCGGCTTAAAAAGTAAACCTTTAATATTCAGTTGGTGAGCTGGTAATTTGAATTATGGAAAAGTAAAACAGAAAAGAGAAGTTGATAAAATAATCTGGGAGTATGAAAGGGGGTGAGGAAGCTCAGGCTATGCAGGAGGAAGTTTGGGTTTAACTTAAGAAGTATGTACATGGAGATGAGTGGAGGGAAGGCGGGATGATACTGTGAGTAGAAATAGTGCTTATTTTACAAACGGGGGAAACATTTAAGTCGTGAAACAGAGTCACAAAGTTGGGCATGTAGCACAGTGGTTGGACGCTTTCTTCCTGCCCAGCGTGGATGAGGCCCTGGGTTTGGTAACCAGCAATGAAGAAGGCTAAATGGAGAAGGCACAATGTTTCCCTTCCTGTTTTTTGGATGCATCTTAGAGAAACAAAAGCTTCAGAAATCGCTGAAGGAGAAAATGGACCCATTTTAGGGAGTTTTGTTGTTTAATATTGACAGAAAACTGTAAGAAAGGTGAGATCACTGATGTCTGTAAATAATGTGAAAGTGATAGACTAGTGAAGAAAACCCCTAGGGAAACAAGGGCGTGGAAACTGATGGAGGGTCTCAAAGTTTTGGCTTTAAATTTGATTTTGCCGGGAAGGTGTATGAAGCCTTAAGGGAGAGGAATAATTGTGGAATCTACATGGAAAATTAGTATATGAGGGAAGTACTGGTAATGTTTGTAGGTGAGTACGGATAAGCCATTCCTACAAAAACTGCTATGACATCCATTCTTCTGTGTCTAAACAAACGGAAGTTGATAGTACTGTGTAATATACGTAGACCTGCTGCCTTCCAGGTGCGCTGGATCGGTGTGCAATGGGGATCACAGCAGTGGAGATACTGAACGCTTGTGATGAGGCCGTGCCTGCGGCAGTAGACTCACTTAGTCATCCAGCCGTCAATCTGAAACAAGCCATGACAAGACGCAGTCTTGCTGCCCTTAAAAATATGGCCCACCATAAGCTACAAACCCTTGCAACTAACCTCTTGGCTTCTGAGGCCTCTGACAAGGTGAGCTTTGTATGTAGTTTCAGTCTGCGGGTTCCATGGCAGGTCATTTAGTAACACAGCTTTGGGGCGTCTCTGAATTTTTGAGAGGTGACATTGATGGAAAATAATCTTGTGGTTTTTAGTTGGATTTATCCACCATGATTTTGGAATGTCTGCAGTACTGAGCATTTTAACAAAGTAAATTAGTTTTTACCATTCAAATATCTTAAAATTACTGAACTAAATCTGGCCTTTCTGGTATTTTCCATCGGGACCCTCCCTACTTCTCCATTTGGCAGAAGGTTGTCCTCCTGAAGAGCAGCAGCAGTTCCAGGCCATCAGTCTGGTCCCCATCCTTCATTCTGCAAAGCTGAGCCTCTTGTTTGTTTTGCTCTTCTCCTTTATTCTTGATTTCCATTTTTAAATAGTTAAACTTGTGTGTAATTACTGACGGGGTTCAAAGGCTCACCTGTAAACTGATGATTAGCCATTAGCCAGTGAATGCCGGTGGTATGAGAACTACTGCACACTGTCCCACTGACCCGTATCCTCCAGTAATTGGCAGTGATATCACCCTTTGATGATTCTTTCTCCCCCCCAAGACATTAATGTTTTATCGGCTCTGTTGTATTTTATGTTTCATTAGTTGGACTTGTGAAATCCTTCTGTGGTTTTCCTATGTGCTTTCAGGTCCGTGTGCTAAAGTCTGAGGAGAAATCACAGCTTAAATGTGTTTGTTGTGCTTGCCATTTGTTTCAAAGAATCATATATTTGACCTACGAAACCATTGTCTCATTATACAATGTGACATGATTTTCATTTTGTGCATATGTGTAAAACAATGTAATAAAAAACATGTGCACTTGTTTTATTTTTTTCTTGATGACTTTAAGAAATAAAAAAACACATTATTTTTCTTGATAGTAGCTACTAGAAATAAAAAATTAGAAAAATAAATATATAGGTAGAAAATTAGAGAAAACTAAGCAGTATTTAGTCCTGTTTATGAATGGCTTTAGTAAGTGGTCATGGTTAATTGTGTGATTTTATAGCCTCTTTTGTCCCTCTTTTACTAGTATGTTTTATAGTGCAGTTAGTGATAAAAGCAGCAGAGAGCTGTTGGAGAGTAATTCCTCCCTACACAGAAACCAGCTCTAGAAGAGGGAGAAGGCCTAGGAAGCTGAGGCTGCAGGAGGATAATCACTTCATGAAAAATGTATGTTGGCTGAACCATTAAGGATTTCTTTTAACTGTTCATGCATGCTGCCACAGTCTCTGTGAATTCACATGTGCATCAACCCTTTTATGTCTAGAAGATGCTGTTTCCTTGGAGTCATCTACTACCTCTGGCTCTTAGAATTTTTCCATTTTTTTCTTTCAGATAGATCCCTAAACTTTGAGAGAAGGTGTTTGATAAAGGCAGCCTTTTTAGGGCTAAGATCTCCAAGGCTTCTCTTCACATTGTCCATTTTTAGGTCTCTCTTAATTGTGATATACTGAAGAAACTTCCATGCTGGGCTGAGTAATGAGCTCATCTACGGGTATAAGAGGATACCATTAGGAGTCATTTTACTGCTGTGCTTTTTTTTTTTTCTTAGCAGAATAATAATAGGTTTTCTTCTAGGGCCCATGATCTCTCTAGTCTCAGTTTCTGGCCTTATTACAGTGTCAGGTGTGGGTTCCATCTCATGGAATGGGCTTTTAATCCAACCAAAACATGTTTGGTTATTCCTATAACATTTATGCTGCTATTGCACCAGTATGTCTTGCAGGTAGGTCACAGAGGTCATAGCTTAGTGAGTTTAGTGATTTCTATCCTCCTAGTGGTGTATATCATACCTTCCATTACTATGAATGGTAGTCAGTAGTGGTAAAGCTTCTAGTTGGACAGCAACTTTATTTCTCCATGTTCATTGATGTAAGTGGTGTCTTCATCAATAGGGACTTACCATCAGGTTATGGAAGGCAACCAGTAGTACTGGAAATTACCTGTAATGTTTGGGGATGTGGTCTGTGGGGTCCCTTTTGCCAACAGCTTAACGAGATGTAATTCATCTTGGTACTGGGGATTTTACTTCATATCACATATCTAGTTTATGCATTGTATCTTCTATTATATGGTAACTCCATCTAAATTCTATTTATTTTAGGATGCTTCTACCATAGTAAGTTTCCATATAGCTTTTCAAAAGGCTTTTAGTGTTAGTTTTCCCTCCCCATATGCCCTGCTTTACATTGCCCTACCATCTGCCTCTGAATTTAATCACCCAATTTCCCCCCTTATCTCTATATATAACACTACATTCCATTTTCCCTCCCTTGGAACATCCCCTCATATCCCTTGGTTCTTTACAAGCTACCTAACCTCTGTGGATATTCTAAATGATACACACACATCTAAAGCTTAAAAGTGAAGGTCCACATATGAGAGAAAACATACAATGTTTGCTCTTCTGGATCTGAGATTCCTCATTCAGGGTGATTCTCCTGGCTCCACCCATTTACCTGTGAATTTCTTCATTCTGTTTTTCTTAACAGTTAAGTAATATTCCATTATTTCAGTATACCATATTGTCATTTATCCATTCATCAGTTGATGGATATATAGGTTGTTTCCAATTTATGACTATAATGAATAGAGCAGCAGAAAACACCAGTGAGCAGGTTATGTTGGCTAGTTTTATGTCAACTTGACACAACCTAGAGTCATTTGTGAAGAGGGTCTCTCAGTTGAGAAAATGCTCCACCATATTGGCTTGTGAGCAAGGGCATCTTCATGATTGATGATTAATGTGGGAGGGTCCAAGGAAGTTGTTCCTAAGTTGTATAAGAAAGCAAGCTAAGTAAGCCATTGAGAGAAGCCGATAAACAGGTACATTTTGAAATGTGGAATGGTGATAACTCCAACAGTCCTTGTATTATTAAGGATTATTTTAGCTAGTCTGGATTTTGTCTCTTTGTTTCCCTATGAATTTGAAGATTATTTTCAGTTTCTCTGAGTAATTGTGTTGTGATCTTGGTGAGGGTTGGACTGATTCTGTAGATTGCTTTTGGTAGGATGGTCATTTTGCAGGGGACTTGAATGTTTTTTGTCTGTATTAAATATTCTATGGGCAGGCATCAATTATTTCTTCTTTTTATTATCAGTGTTTAATATAGTATAACTACATTACATACATAAATTACTTACAGCATGCCTATTTAGGAAGAAGTTTGTTTGGAAGTGTAGTTTGAAATAATATTGTGAAGGAACTTGATTGCAAAGTTCAGGGTCTAGCAGACAATTCTATGGTGTTGAATTATGTTGAAAGATTTTGCCCTGTTTAGTGACATCTAATAATAGAGTCTAATAATAAATGTCACTGTAGTAAAGTAGTAGGCTACTATGTGGATACAGTAAGAGGTCATGATGGCTAGAAATGGCATTAAGCAGTGAAGATAAAGAGGGTTGGCTTGTGTACTGCAGCGTAAGTTGAACAAATAGGTCTTCACAGATAAGCATGAAAAGATCCTGACATTCAGGATTATTTCAGAGACACTAGCCTAGTGCTAATAATAGACATGTAGAGCCTATGGACTAGGCTTTGAGGATTTTAATAGGAGATAATTCCTCTTCTAGTGGCAGTATAAGATGGTGTATGAGTGAGAGTGAAACACTTCTGAGAATAAAGTGCCAGGTTTGGAAGAGAGAGCAGTTTGTCAAATAATGCTGTCTTCTAACTTCTAAGCAGACTAGCTATCATCATCTTTATCAGATCAGCTTTAATCGCCTTTCCCACAATGGACTTTGCATATTCTATGGGATGCCTATTTCTATAGCATTAAATACTTTTGGAAACAGGGTCTTGGGGAACAGACCTCTTTCTTGAGCTTACTTTCTTGATGAGAATCATTCTTCTTCCTAGTCATTGAAGGATATACTGAATGTGAACGAGCTCTGGTAACTCATCTTAATTATTGTGTTCTTGATTTTGCTGTAAATGAAACACACACACACACACATGCTCTCTATTAGCTTGCAGGAGTGCTGTATTGTTCTCCTAATTGTTTCTTTATGAAGCTCTTTTTTTTTCTGTTCTCCTTTTAGCTAGCTGCAGTGGCTACTACTCTTTGTGCATTTTTCTTAAATTGCTATATTTGGATTTTAAATATGCCATTGGACTCTTCCTCCCCTCCTTATTCCATCCCTCCCTTTCTCTTTTTCTCTCAGTTTTTCTCTCCTCTAATGGGGAGAGGCCAGGGCATCAAACATGCTAGGCAAGTGCTCTACCATTTTGAATTGTTTTAACTTTCCTACTTTTATATTTTCTTTTTAAAGCCTTCTAGTAGATTAAACCAATATTTAAAATTTTATTTTATTCTCATTATGCTTGCTATAAATTCTGCTGCTGTTCTCTTAGCCTTTATCCTAGGACTGTAATATACCTTTTGCTGACTACAATGTAAAAATGAATTATTGCTATTACAATTTTCTTGATAATTATAGGATCTTAAAACATTACAACCTTATTAGTTCTTTTCTTTCTACATGTTAGATACCAAGCAGTCTACATAGAGTCTAAGTTCAAATATATAAGGCCTACCATGCATTATTATTGTTGTTGGTTCAGTCAACACTTAATATTTGTCCCTTTGATTTTTATTTAAGGTCATTTCTGTCAGAGGAATCTTCAATTCCCGAAACACCAAAAAGCAGTCCAAATATCCAGAAATGAGTTCAATCTGGACTGTGGGAGGATTTCTGGTTAGGTGAAAGCCAGCATCCTCAGGAACTTGTGAAGCCCGTTCCTGTTTGCCTTACCTTAAAAAACCAGCAACAACAATAACAAAACAAACCAAAACAAAAAAAACAAAAGAAAGAAAAGTCATGTTCCAATTAACATATATCTGTGGTGCCGGCCATCATATAAAGGACCCATTCCCTACTTAAAAGTAGCTGCTATACCTCTCATCACCCATCCCCCAAGCCAGTCTCCTGACCCTCCCCTCCTCCAGCTACTCATCCTTTTTAAAAAATATAT